AAGTACTGGAAGTCGGACATTCCTGGAAAGAGGTGGCCAGATGGCAGACACCCCATTACACCCTCCCAGGAACTGGCGGCTGCTGCGCATCGACACCCACATGTTCTCGGAGGTGCCAAGGGAGCCGTGCAGCGGGCCATGGGGGTGGGAGCTGAAACAGCACCTTCGGAAATACTTCTGTGCACGCGACTCCGCGCACTTGGGAGTCTCCCAGAGGGGCTGGGGGAGGAGGGGGCGATGTGGTGCGTGAGGGTCCAGTCTAGGTCAGCGCTTCTTGAAACACAGAGTGCACATGACTCTCCTGGGACCTAGCTAAAGACTCTGGGATGCTGTACATCAGACAAGCCCCCAGTACCGGTGCTGCTGGCTGGGACGGAAGGTGAGCGGCGGGGTGCTGGCTCAAGCAGACAGATGGAAAACGCATCACGGGAAGACCTCGCCCCAGGAGGGACTGCCCTCTTTGGAGAGCACCGCATGCCACCAGAATGACTGACGTTCAAAATGCCCAGCTCAGGGGTCCCTGGCCCTGGTTTCATCCCATTCCACTTTCTAGCCCCTCTTCTCCGTCCGTGCTCTCTGCAGATTCTCTTAGAACCGCAGCTGACACTGCATTCCTAAGGCTCACTAGTAATCTACCAAGTGCCTCCTGTGTGCGCAAACTGGCCCTTTAATGGCATCCCCCAGACCCCAACCCTTCACGAGGGCCTGAGGAACCCAGGCTCCCACACTGGATGGAGAAGAGCCCGAGGCTGAGGGAAGCTGAGCACCTGCCCAAACAAACTGGCTCTTTCTTACTTACCCGCCCCACCACACCCCTTACCACCACTCACTGGGGTTCCCTATGGGCAGCAAACCGATGGAGGAGCCCACGGGAGACACCCAGTTGGCTAAGAGTTCAAAGGAACATGAGGTCCCAAGGGGCTGAGGTGATCTGGGAAGGCTTCAGAGGTAAGGCAAGACTAGCACCAGTCAAGACTCAGAGAAGGTTCCAAAACACTGACGGTCAAGAATTGGAGACCTGCTAACCGGTTTTATTTGGCCCCACATGATGGCCTTAAAAATTAGGGGATTATTCACAGAACGTCAGCTTTTCGTAAGAATGCAGAAGATGGAGCAGCAATGAGCCCCCCGTCCACTGAGAACTGTTGCATAGAGGGAGAAACAGGTGCCTCTTGGATGGGGCCTGGACTGTCCCACTCTGCTTACCCCCTGCCCCTCATTCCTGGGCATAGACTGTCCCCCTTCACTGCGTGGATGACCCACAGAGCACCTGCAGGAATGTAGACACAGGTCCTAAAATAACCCAACGCAGTAAGCTGCGGTTACCTTGAAATTTGTAAATGGTGGAGATGGTGCCAAGTATCTCTATGTCAAATGTGACCTCGGGGTGGGGCTCAGGCCCCGGCACCTCCCTCTGCCGCCTGGTCTTCCTCCTGATCCGGAGCAGCAGGCTGCTGGTACTGAAGCGGTTGGCGCACACTGGGTGGCAGTAAGGGTCCTTGGGCCGGAAGTACAGCTCCAGCCTCTTGGTGGGGTCTGCGTAGATCTGTGGCGAGGCCAAGGAAGACAGTGACCAGTGGGTAGCTAAGTGGCTGGCAGAGAGCTGTCTCTTGCTCCACAAAAGCCTGATGGTGACTCAGCTGACAAGGGGAGGTCAGGGGGCTCATGGTTCATTCTGAGCTTTTAATTCTCAAAAGACCCATTTTTCGAACCCCAGTATCTTAGTTTTTATCTAGTAGAGAAAATGAGGATAGTCTCCTCCTTCTAAGAGGCTGGAAAGCTAGAGACGATAACCGCCAGCTAAGTAGAGCACCCCCACCCAAGTGCCCGTCCAGTGCGGGGACTCATGCGCCTCCTGTGGCAACGTTCCATGGCGGTGTTCTGATGCCCAAGTCCTCCACGCAGGGACCGAGGCTGCTGACGCCCGAGTCCTCCACGCAGGGACCGAGGCCGGCGGGCAGGGTGGCTTGTCTCCACCTTCCTACCCGAGGCGCCACCTGCCCCAAGGGTCTTGCTATTCAGTCTCCCGTGCAAATGTTTCCAAGTCTGAAGGAACTGAAATCAATTAGTAACAAGCACTTTGGCTCTGACTAGCTGTCACTTATCCTTTTCAAGCCTTTGCTCCTTCTCCTTAAAATGGAGATACGAACAGTACCTACTCACGGGATTCTAACAATGATTAAATGAATGATTGAATTGTTGAATATGCAACACGCTGTCTGGTGTCTAACTCGTGGTGAACACTCTACACAAGTCACGCACCCACAAGTGCTTGCCCCGCACAGAGTAGGAGGGACACAGTAAGAGTCAGCTGTGTGCACATGAAAGCCCAACAATGCTCACGGGGCCAAGAGTATCTGCCTTCTAGCTTGCTGGCTCCCCAACACTAAGGACACAGCCTGGCCCTTAGGAGATGCTCAGGAAACATCGAATGAAAGAAGGTTAAAAGGAGCCCCAACCTTCAGGAATCCCTTCTCATGAGACACAGATCTATGAGATCGTGAGGCTGGGAATAACCCCAGCTGCGGGCCTGGCAGAGAAGGTGCACAAGCAGCAGGAATGGTATGAATCAATGGCCAGTCTCTTCCAAAAGGCTCACACTGTAGTCGGATACAAATATCCCTGGGGTTAGTGAGAGCAAGGGTCCTGTCAATGCCGAGGTAGAGTGAGTAAGTCAGGATAAAAGAACAAAACAAGACTAACTGGGCCTCTATAGCATCCTGTGCTTAATGACAGGTTTTCAATATTCATTAAGCATGAGGAAGCAGCAGGTAAGAGTTCAGACTTCAGAGGGGAGACATGCATGAGTTCAAATCCCCACTGTAGCACGTGAGAGTTTGTTTGACCCAACTTTTCCTACCTGAGTCTTCATCTGAAAAAAGGGAAAAATGGGGGTGGGAGGGAGGGGGTGGCTGGGTGATAGACAGTGGGGAGGGTATGTGCTATGGTGAGCGCTGTGAATTGTGCAAGACTGTTGAATCACAGACCTGTACCCCTGAAACAAATAATGCAATATATGTTAAGAAAAAAAAAAAAAAGAAGATAGCAGGAGAGGAAGAATGAAGGGGGGAAATCGGAGGGGGAGACGAACCATGAGAGACGATGGACTCTGAAAAACAAACTGAGGTTTCTAGAGGGGTGGGGCGTGGGGGGATGGGTTAGCCTGGTGATGGGTATTAAAGAGGGCACGTTCTGCGTGGAGCACTGTGTGTTATGCACAAACAATGAATCATGGAACACTCCATCCAAAACTAATGACGTAATGTATGGTGATTAACATAACAATAAAAAATTTAAAGGGAAAAATGGTGCCTAACTCCCTAGGTTGTTGTGAGGATTTAGTCATGCATATGACAAATATTTTGGAAGAAGGCACTATTAAAGATGTTAGGACTGCAGGAGTAAACAAGAGAGACAAGGTCCTGCTCTCATGGAGTTTACAAGCTGAGAGCAAGCGGCCAAGACAGACAATAAAATGTGTTAAAACATAACTTCAGATTGGAATTAACAGGTCGGGGCTCCCGGGTGGCTCAGTTGGTTAAGCATCTGCCTTTGGCTCGGGTCATGATCCTCGAGTCCCGGGATCGAGTCCTGCATCGGGCTCCCTGCTCAGCAGGGAGTCTGCTTCTCCCTCTGACCCTCTTCCCTCTCGTGCTTTCTATCTCTCATTCTCTCTCTCTCTGAAATAAATAAATAAAATCTTTAAAAAAAAAAAAAGAAGAAGAAGAAGTCATCCCAGCTCCCTCATTTTCCGGGAGACCTTGAACAAACTGCCTCGGTTTCCTAGTAAAATGTGGACAATGCCCTTTGCTACCTGGCAGGGCTCTAATGAGGATAGAATGTAAGTAAAGCACCTGGTACCGAAGAAGTTGTTGGCCATTACCACCTTTATTTATTTTTTTTAAATATTTTATTTATTTATTTGACAGAGAGAGAGCACAAGCAGGGGGAGCGGCAGAAGGAGGGAGAGAGAGAAGCACACTCCCCGCGGAGCAGGGAGCCGGACGCTGGGATCATGACCTGAGCCAAAGGCAGATGCTTAACCGACTGAGCCACCGAGGTGCCCCCATTACCACCTTTAACCCCAACAACACAACACCCGGTCCCCTCTCTGTGAATGAGGAAGTGGCAGCCCAGCACGTCGCGGGGGCTGTGGCTCCCCGGATCCCCGGAGGAAGGGATGGAAAGGACACGCCGCCCCTCCCTGGGTCTCCACCACAACCTTTTTCCGCTGCTCCCAGGGAAAAGCAGTCCTCCCAGGCGCGCAGGCGGCAAGTCCCCGCCCACTGGCCGCCCCAGAGCCCGCCCCGAGTTCCGTTGCCAAGGAAACCACACCTCCCCGGGTGGTCCCGCCCCTCCGGCGGAGGTCCCGAGACTCGGTCTCTCCCGCGGTCCCGGCCACTGCCCCCATCCCGCTCCTCACCCGGGAAACGCCCTCCTCGCCGCCCAGAGTCCGCAGCATCTTGGACACGTCGCGCACCACGCCTGGGTACTCCACGCACACCATACGCCGCTCGCGTCGCAGGTCCACGGGGACCGCGATCCCCGGCCCCGCGTCAGCCGCTGCCGTCGCCGCCGCCGCCATCCCTGCCAGTCTGGCCCGGCCCGCCGCGGTCCGTCCCTGCGGGCGCTCCTAGCGGCCCCGCCGCAATGGTTCCGCGGAAGAATCGTTCCGGGTTGCCTCGCCGCTCGAGTCTCTCTACCTCCCTGGGCTCAGCGAGACTCGAGGCCTCTGAAAGCAAAGGCCCGAGGTCAGACCCCCACGCTTCGAGGTGAAGGACCGCCTGGTCCTCAATTGGGGGTTTAAAAAGAAGAGGGTAGCCCGAGGGGCGGAGCAAGGGCTTGTCGCTCCTAGCAACCCGCGAGGGACCCGGACGACTGTGAGACACCGCCCAGCCCTCGATTTCAGCCAATGAAAACCCGAGGGCCAACGAAGCGTCAGGGGGAAGCCTGCTTCCTCCCCTTCTCGCTAGCGCATAGATTTCAGCCAATGAGGAAGCAGAACTGGGCCGGGTCCCCGCCCCTTTCTAGGGCTCCTTCCAATGACGGCTTGGGGGCAGGCTCGGGGCACACTTCCGTCCCGCCTTCCGGTGAGGGACGATCCCGGGGCTGAGTAGATTTCCGGCCGGGCTCGGCCGAGGGGTTTCCGCGGGTCTGTGTCCCTGGTCCTGCCGGCCGCTCGGGGAAGACTTCTCCCGCGGCGCGCGGAGGCCGCGCGGAGTCGGATGTGCAAATGCGAGCGTGAGGAAACCGCTTGGAATGCTCGCCCCACCTCCACGCACAGAAAACCCCGGAGCGCCCTCGGCCGCGGAGCTCGGGGAGGAAAGTGGGCGTCCGTCCCTCGTTCCTTAGTTGTCAAGCGCGTGCTGTGTGGGGACGGAACTGTAGGGAGCGAAGTGGGGGACGCGAGGGGTCGGAGGTCGACATGGGCCAGATGGAGCCTAAAAGTTGGGTGTGCCTCACGGGTGGGCTCTCTGAGTGCGATGTTGCGTCCCTGAAGGGTTTTGTACCTGGAGCGCGCGACCTGACCTCTGCGGGTGAAACCCTGTTAGCGTAGCGCCTGGGTCGGGGGCGAGGCCTGTGGGGGGAAGCAGGCTCAGATGCAGACCCCCTGCGAGGCTTCGCGGGGGCCGGGGACGTGGCCGTGAGAGTGGGAGGGGGCTGCATTTGAGAATAACAGGAGCTAAAAATCAGAGCAAGGGACCCCTTGGACGTGGGTACCCCAAGTTCCTGAAATGACTTCGGAATCACAAGAAGGCTTCGTCGTTCCAGGTGGATGTAAGAGGGCTGAATCATCGGCTGCATTGGCCATTACATGGATTTTTATTTTTATGTTTTTTTTTCATTTATTTATTTTCCAGAGAGACGGCGAGAGCAGGAACACAAGCAGGGGGAGTGGGAGAGGGAGAAGCAGGCTTCCCGCCGAGCAGGGAGGGGGGGACCCCAGGACCCTGGGACCATAATTGGAGGGCCCGGCCAGGAGCCCCAAAACTGAAAGAAAGGTCCCCCCTGACAGGAATCCACCAGCAGCAGCCGATGCACGGGTGGAAGGAACCACAGACTCTCCAGCGTGTGAGGACTTGGCAGTCCCTGACCTGCCTCTCTGGCAGGAACTGGGGCATCTTCTGTCACCAAAGAAGATGCTATGCAGTGAGGCCGGGATGATGCTTCGGAATTTTTCATGCCTTGAGATGAAATTAACTTCAGATTTCTTGTGTCCTTTTGTTCTCATTCCGTGCTCACCAAGCAATCTTCTGGTGGTTTGTTTAATTTTCCGGGAAGGAGACTCTAAAGAACAGATATGTATTGTAAATTAATAAATTGGTGTATTTACATCAGACCGCTGTGAGTTGGGTACGCATGAAGTCAGTCCTGAATCCTGGCTGGGGATCCTCTTCTATGGGGGGACCTGCGATGGGAGGTTATTGATTCTGTTAGGGGAGGGCAAGGAAGGCTTTGGGAAGTGTTGTCCTGTCTTTTCTTTTTTAAGATTTTACTTATTCATTTGACGGAGAGAGAGAGAGAGAGCATGAGCAGGGGGAGCAGCAGAGGGAGAGGGAGAAGCAGACTCCCCGCTGAGCAGGGAGCAAGATCTGGGGCTTGATCCCAGGACCCTGGGATAGTAACCGGAACAGAAGGCAGATGCTTAACCAACTGAGCCACCCAGGCGCCCCTGGAAAATGTTTTCTTTGGGCCGCGGAATCTGAATATTCCATTCTGGGCCCCAGGGTCAGTCTGGGAAGCGCACAGTTGGTGTTTAGTATTCCCCAGCCGGGACTAGATTGTCCCTGCACCCTTGGAATTGGAGAGGAGCAGTGTTCATTTTTGGCCACCAGATGGCGACAGAGCGTCCTCGCAGGCAACACCGCCGCCTGGTGGTCATCGGTGCCCGTGACACCTGGAAGAAGGCGAAGCAGCCGCTGAAGGAGGAGAGAGGGGAAGGGGGCCCAGGCAACAGACCCTCCCAAGAGTCCTGTGCTGGGCGGGGGTCAGCAGCCTGCTTCTAATCTCCTCCGACCGCAGGGAGGCCACGCCTCTTTCCCAACACGCACAGACGCACGCCCGGGTCCGGGAATCCTCCTGCACAGTCCCCGCACTGGCAAGCGGTGGGGCGCCGGGCAATGGGGCTCATCCAGGGGCTTCAGTTTCCTTTTAGCTACAAGTGGGACAAACTGTTGCCAAGTACATTGGCCTTCCTAGTCAATTTGGTATTCCAAAGCAAAATTAAACTAAATGCGCACAGGAGAGAACTTCAAAGGTTCTTCATAAATAGCGTTTATGTTGCCAAGTTAAATATTTTCAAATACTTGCCAGGCAAAGGTAAATTTACAATGAAGCTAATAAAATTTAAACACCAGGGCCCCTCAATAGCAGGGACCTTTTTTTCCGAGGCTCTGGGAGGTGCCTTACGCTTGTGTTCACACAGGCATATGTTTTTATAAAATTTTTTAAAAGTAAGATATTTCAACTGCAACTGGTTAAGACTTCTGTCTCTTGGGACGCCTGGGTGGCTCAGTTGGTTAAGCGACTGCCTTCGGCTCAGGTCCATGGTCCTGGAGTCCCGGGATCGAGTCCCGCATCGGGCTCCCTGCTCAGCGGGGAGTCTGCTTCTCCCTCGGACCCTCCCCCCTCTCGTGCTCTCTCTCTCTCATTCTCTCTCTCAAATACATAAATAAAATCTTGAATAAAAAAAAAAAAGACTTCTGTCTCTTTCTACCTAGCCTGCCCTCCATCACACTTGCTCTTGTGTTGGGAGGCATCGAAGTGGTCACGGGCATTTAAGGGATTTGACAAAAGGAAGTCCAGGTGGGAGTACATTCCGTTTGGATTGCATGGAATCCGTGTGTGGTCTGCAGTCACATCTGTGACTATTGCTGGCCATCCTCTGTGGGAATGGCTTCCAGGAATACACACTCTCCCGCCTTCTGTGACACCTACTGGTGTCGCGATATGAAGATCCAGGGCCAAAGGTAGTATAACTGTCAGAGCCAGAAGCTAGTCTGGAAAATTCCTTCAATTAGCAGACACAAGCAGAGGAAAGTAAAATGTACAGCCACTTTGGAAGAAAGTATGGCAGCTCCACAAAAAATTAAACCTAGAATGACCACATGATCCAGCAATCCCCCTTCCAAGTGTATACCCAAAGGAATTAAAGGCAGGGTCTCAAAGACATAGTTGTACACCCATGCTCATAGCAGCATTATTCACCGTGGCCAAAAGGCAGAAGCAATCCAAGTGTCCATCAACAGATGATGGACGAACAGAATGTGGTCTGTCTATACCATGGAATATTACTCAGTCTTAAAAAGGAAGGAAGTGTTGACAAGTGCTACACCATAAATGAAGCTTGAGGATGTTATGCTATGTGAAATAAGCCAGCGACAAAAACACAAATACTGTATGTATCATTCCACTTACCTGAAGTACCTAGAGCAGTTGAATTCAGAGAACCAGAAAATTGAGTGTTGGTTGCCAGGAGCTGGGGGAGAAGAGGGAGTGGAGACTTAGTGTTTAATGGGTCTCGAGTTTCAGTTTGCAGGATGAACAAATTCTGGGGCCGGCTGGTGGTGACGGTTGCATGACAGTGTGAGTGTGCCTAACATTACTGAGCCGCACACTTAAAAATGGTTAAGATGGTAAATTTTATGTTCTGTGGATTTCACAATTTTTAAATGCAAGCAGAGAAGTTGGTTCTCATCAACCCTCAGAATGGGAGTTCTCTGTCAAACTGTGATAATGCAGACTAAACAAGTATAAATGTAACATACATTTCTGTTTAGTTTTAATGGGAATCGCACAAAACAGAATTTACCGGAATTCTGTGTAGGGCTCAACTCTGTAGAGGTACTATGGAGAGCCAGCACGTCTGGGTGCAAAGTAGCATGCTTTATGCTCTCCAGCATTTCTGATCTCTGTTTTGCTATGGCATTCTCAGTACTAAGTTGTAAAGCTGAGAAAAGGTGTTCTAACTAGCAATAACAGAAGCTGAACTTTGATCAGCCATGCTGAAGACTTTCCATCCTCTCTGTAGAAAATGATGTTACAAATAATTGTAGGGGCGCCTGGCTGGCCCAGTCAGAAAAGCCGTGCACCTCTATTCTTGGGGTCGTGAGTTTGAGCCCCACATCCAGCGTGGAGCCTACTTAACTACAAAGAGAAAAAAAAAAGAAGGTGCTATCTTGAAAAAAAAATTGAATCAAGATTATTGTTGTATGAGGAGGCAAACGAAGAGTATGGTAGCCAAAATATGTGGGAAAAGGTGTTCTAGAGAGATGTCCAGCCGTTAATTAGTATGAATTTTTTCCTGGATACTTGGATGTCATATAGAATTATTTCTTATTTGTTATGCTTTATTCCCCTCCTTCTAAATAGTGATTTGCTTTTACACCTAATTTTGTATTCTTAATGTTTTCTTTGGTGTAAAGTAGGACCTTACCATTGTGTACACTTCCAGCCCCTCCCCCCAAATCTCAGAACTGCCCAGAGATGTTTCACTGTTAACGTGGGAGCATGTGGTCTTTCACAACTTTCTAAATCCTAACTCAAAGTGAAACTTCTCGCGATGCCTGGGTAGCTCTGTCAGTTAAGCATCTGCTTTTGGCTTAAGATCCTGGGATGGAGTCCCGCATCGGGCTCCCTGTTCGGGGGGCAGCCTGCTTCTCCTTCTGCCTGCTGCTCCCCCTGCTTGTGTTCTCTCTCACTCTCTTTCTCTCTCTCTCTGACAAATAAATAAAATCTTAAAAAGAAAAAAAGCAGAACTTCTCTTAGGGTCTTTTCAAAGCCTGTATTGCCCGTCAGGGTGTCCCCTCTGTTCGTTCCCTCCCCTCTGTTCCGTCTCTCCCTGTCCCTGTTCTGGTCCCCTCACTCGAAAATGCTTCCAAAACAGCCATGGTGATTGTTTTCCTCGATCCAGGAGTTATTTAGAAGTCTCTTGCTCGATATCCAAAAATTAGGGAATTTTAAAATTATCCTTCCTGTTCTTGACTTCTAGCTTAATTTCACAATAGTCAGGGAACACATTCTATATGATTTCAACCCTTCCTTTAAAATGCATTGGGACTTGTTGGGGCGCCTGGGTGGCTCAGTCGGTTGAGCATCAGACTCCTGGTTTGGGCTCAGCTCATGATCTCATGGCTGTGGGATGGAGCCCCGTGTCTGGCTCCATGCTCGGTGCAGAGTCGGCTCGGGATTCTCTCTCCCTCTCCCTCCTCCTCTGCTTCTCTCCCCTCCCCTGCTTATGCTCTCTCTTAAATAAATACATTAATTAATTAATTTTAAAAAATAAAATAAAAATTAGAATATATTGGGACTTGCTTTATGGCCCAGCATACAGTTAGCCTTGTGAAGTGTTCTGGGTACATCTGAAAAGAACGTGGCAGGTACCACGTCCTATATCCTTCCCGGGTGTACATGCATGTGCGCACGCGTGTGTGTGTGTTCATCTGCGCAGTCTATAAGAGATGTGTTAAAATTCCCCACTGTAATCATGACTTTGCCTAGTCTCCTCGCAGGTTCGTAATTTTGCTTTGTTTCCGACTGAGGTCCGTGTTTTTGTGTACGTGTAAATTTAGAAATGTTACACGCGCCTGGCAAATGGGTCTTTAATGGTCATGAAATATTCCTCTTCATCTCCAGAAAAGTCTAAATTGTCACTACAAGAGGTTTGTTTTGGTTCACGTTTTCCTGATGTATACGCTTTTCTATTGTTTCACTTCCAGTGTTTCTGCGCGCTTCAATTTTTGTCTGCCTTTTGCAAGCCAGATGGAGTCTGCTCGTCCTCCTGCCTCATACCCTCTGTCTTTGAACTGGAGTATTTAATTGTTTTATATTTAATGCAATGCTGATCTATTTGGGTGGAAATCTTTTATATTCCTATCTGCCCCGCCTGTTCTGTCGTCCCCTCCCCTTTCACTTCCTCTTTTATACTAATTATATTTTATTATTCTATTTTCCCTCTAATAAATAGCTGAACATACTTTTACTGGTTACCCTAGAGATTATAGTATGAATCCTTGTTCTATTAAAGTCAAATACGTTAGTACTCTTAACCATTTCCACAACAATGCAGAGACATATTTAGACTCCTCTCGCATTTTGTGCCATTGTAATCATGCATATATATGTGCATGCTTTTAATATGTTACATATAAAATATATATAATATGTGAGTAGTATATATGAAAAATAAATCTTTCAAATCAACTTTATTGAGGTATAATTTATATGCAGTGACATAGACCCTGTTTAAGTGTATCATTCAGTATATCTACAAATATATGAGTGTAATCACCACCTCGATCATGATAGAGAATATTTCAATCACCCAAGGAATTCCCTGGTGCCCTTTGGTGAGTCACCCCGTCAAGTGGGCTGGGTCGCATGGAGAGCCCAGGGCTCATGCGGACATGTGAGTGTGGTGCCGGCAACTGCCCTCCCCAAGACCACCCACGAGGGGAAATTTCTCCACAAAGGAGGTTTGCAGGGGGTCCTGGACAGTCAAGGGGAAAAAAGACAAATGATACCCAAACTGGATTCCTCTGTCTCTCCCTACACCTCTTCCCCCCAACCTTCCTCCTTTAGGGGTCCTTTCTCAGGAATAGAAACACCAGAAATTTGGGTGTCATCCTGGATTCCCCACGCTCCCTGGTCCCCCAATCCATCCACTGCCACGTGGCCCTCTCCAACCCCTAAATCAGGGATCCATGTTCTCCTCCCTCCCGCTCTATAGCCCCACGCAGCTCACGTCAGCGGTCAGCATTATCCCTGCCTGCAAACAGCCCCTAACTGGCCTCTGACATTTTTCCTCCAGGGGGATGGGTGACGATACTCGGGGTTCAAAATCCAAAGGACATCAAAACCCATGAGAGAAAAGCCCCTCCAACTCCTTTCCCCAGACACTAAGGTCCTCTTTTCTGTCGAGATGACTAATGTTATTAGTTTCTTGTTTGTCTCCCTGGAGATAATCTGCATCGTTATAAGCAAAATGATATATATGTATTTTTTTCTCCACCCCCTTTAAAAAGTGAACAGCTAACCCACAAATGGGTTATTACTCTGTTTTCCCCTCTAATAAATGGTTACACATGCTTTTACTGGCTTCCCTGGAGAGAAAAGAGGACTCCTCAATCTATTAAAGCCAACTATAAATTACTTGCCCGCAAATGGCAGGTCACTATACACTCCGTTCCACACCTTCCTTTTTCACTCGACAATATATCATGGAGATTACCCCACATCAATTCACATGGCGCTTCCTCATTTTTCTGAACAGATACCCACTGTCCCACCGTATGGTTGGCCCTTGATTTCTTTCACCAGCCCTCTTTGAGGGATACTTAGGTTGTTTCCAACCTTTTGCAAACACAGCATAGCCATGAATCACTGTTGTGCGTCCTTTCACACACGGGCTGGATGTCTGGAAGAGATTGCTGGGTCAAAGGGCATGTGCACCTGTGATTTTGTTGCACGTCACAAAATGTTTCCCTCTTGGGACCTGCACCATTTATGATCTCTCCCTGGGTGAGGCCGGGCTGTGTCCGGGTCGCGGGGCCCTCCCCAGGACCAGCCTGCCAGGGTTCCCTAGACCTAGGAGCTGTTTCATCTTGAGGGGCTGCCTGACCCCCCCTTGGGGCAGCCTCCCCACCTTCCCCTTGCAGAAGCCAGGGGGCGCTGCTTCCCCTCAATCCCAAATCCAATCCCTCCCCTGACTGCCTCACACCTGCTGTGGTGAGAGTCTTCGGGTCCATCTCACCTGACTTTCCCACCTCCTTCCAACCAGACAGCTTTTGCCCCCATCCCCAAATTCCTGCCCCCCCCTCCCTGGGCCTCCTCGCCTTTGCCCTACCCTCTCCTTCAGGTCGGAGCGATCTCTAAGAAGGGGCGTCCTCCTCGCTCTCTGAGGCCCCTGCGTGCGGCACCCTGGCTCCTTCCCATTCCCCGGCCCGACTGTGGGGGACCGGGTCTCCTTGGCTGGTTTCCCAGGCAGACAGACACCTCATCGGGCCTGGACGAAGGAAGGAGCACCTCAGCAAGCAAAGGGGGACCAGCCCGAGCCTGGCTGGTCTGGGGGCTTGGGGACCCTCAGAAGCAGGGAGGAATGACCCGTGCAGTCAAGCATGCCAGCAGCTTGGGCCAGAGCCCGGAAGAAGGAAGGAAGGTGGGGACGGAGACAACAGGGTGAGAAATGAGGGAGCAGGAGCAGGGAGTTGGGGGGCGGGGAGTGAAGAGGGAGTAGCTGTTGCCTGGCTAGGCCTGCGGGTCTGCAGGTCCCAGGAGAGAGCGGCCGAAGCCAGGACACCCCTTAATCCCATGGGAGGGCTTGCCTTCAGATTCGAAAGCCTTTGGGCAGAGGTTCTTTAAAGTTCTACCGTGGACAAGCCTGTGCCTCAGTTTCACTGCTGGGAGGGATACATGGCCCCCACTATTTACATGGGAAGTGCTCAGCGTGGACAAGGGTGCCATTTGGGGTGGGTCTTTCAAGCTGATCAGATCAGGTGGTGGGCTGGGAGGGCCCTCCTGTCTTCCCCGAGGGTGGGGGTGCTGCCTTCCAGGTGCAGCTCTGGGCTGGGGTCCCTGGTATCCTCTCACTGATGTGGGGGAAGGGGGCATAGGTCTATGACCTACACAGGCTCAGGTCGAGGAGCAAAAGATTAGAAAGCAGCCCTCACCCCCAGCTCCACCTGTCACAAGCTCTGAACCCTCACTGTGCATCAGCCCCTTTGGGATGGGGAGGGCCAGGCCTATTGATTTGTTTGCCCATCCACCCAACCACCCATCCATCTAACCAACCACCATCCACCCATCCATCCATCCATCCAACCACCCATCCATCTACCCATCCATCTAACCAACCACCATCCACCCATCCATCTAACCAACCACCACCCATCCAACCATCCATCCAACCACCCATCCATCTAACCAACCACCATCCACTCATCCACCCATCCACCCACCCACCCATCTGCCCACTGAAAGTGTCTATTTGCTGAGTGCTGGGAAGCAGTGGAGACCTGCATGAAATATATTCAGACGGCGGTACATAGAGCTATTTGCTGACAGTTATGATCAGCAGCAGATGGGACAGTTGCCGGGAGCTGTGAGTCTGTAACTGGGCAAGGCCTCCTTACAGGATGCGTGGGGGCAGAGGCTAAAACAAAGGAGTGAGTCAGGTGAGGAATTGAGGGAACTGCCTTCCGGGCAAAAGGAGCAGTGTTCCTGGAGCCCAGAGGCAGGCGAACCCATCTGGGAGAAAGGGAAGAAGGACATGGGGGCTCCAGAGCTGCTGCCTGCTGGGTGCCCAGTTGCTAACCCCCGGGAGAAGCGCCCCCTCCGCCTCCGTGGCTCTTCCAGAGCAGGGCGCCCTGGCGTTGCTGGCCTCTGCAGAGGGGCCTCTCCACCTGGACTGCGAGCCGTTTCAGGCTGGGCTCCAGTTCTCAAGCCTGTGTTCAGCAAACACCAAGGCCACACTGCAACCTCCAGTTTTTTGTTTATGGCGCTGAAATATACAGAATGTAAAATTTGCCATTTTAACCATTTATATGTGTACAATTCAGTGGCATTAAAAGTACACACATTGTTGTGGGGGGCGGGGGGCAGCGATCAGCACCATCCACACCCAGATCTCTCCCGGCTGGCAAAACCGAAACTCTGGTCCTATAAAACCAACTGCCCACTCCCTCCCCGCCAGCCCCTTTTTGAGGTTGAGTACTACTGGGTGTATGGATAGACCACATTTCATGTGTCCATCCTCCCTCCATGGATGCTCGGGCTGCTTCCATCTTTTGGCTGCCAGGCATCACGCCGCTGGGAAACCTCATTCCTGGCTCAGCCCCTGGGGCCAAGCACACAGCCAACGAGCAGTTGGTTTTTGGCAAAACTCTAGAGTGAAGGGAGCGTAGACCTCGTCTCGACCAGCTCTCTTCCTGGTGCATCTCGAGGCCCCAGCGGAGGAGAGGGATGTCCACAGGGAGCATTTGAGGAGTTCCAATCTGCTTGGGGATTTAAACAGGCAGAGGGCCCTGGGAACCAGAGCCCTCTCTGAGTCACCGACTCCCCGCTAGCCAGCCTCACCGTCCCCTGATGAATGACCTCTGCGAGCTTCCCCAGATAAAGCAGGAGAGCCAGCTGGACCCTTGGCCCTGTGTGCCACGCACTGCGTGAGCCCTTGTCCCCAAGTCACTCCCGTTCCAACCAGATGCTGACCGCCCCCCCACCACCCCCAGCCTCGGACACAGAGACCGGAGGCTGTCTGGGGCCACCTGTGCTGGACTTGCGCCCACTGAGTCTCCCGGGCAGCTGTACCAGCGAGTTTTTTTTTTTTTAAATATTTTATTTATTTATTCATTTATTTAAGAGAGAGAATGAGATAGCGAGAGTACATGAGGGGGGGGAGGGTCAGAGGGAGAAGCAGACTCCCTGTTCAGCAGGGAGCCGGATGCGGGACTCGATCCCGGGACTCCGGGATCATGACCCGAGCCGAAGGCAGTCGCCCAACCAACTGAGCCACCCAGGCGCCCTGTACCAGCGAGTTTTATTACCGTTCTCATTTTACAGACAAGCAATGGGCCCAGGGCAGAGAAAGGACTTGCCTCGGGAGACAGAGCCCAGCGTAAGGCCGAACTGCAAGCCCATCGTCCGGCCGGGCGGCTGGCCGTCTACACTGGCGGAGGAAGCCGGGCGGCCTCACAAGCCCAGCCTCCTCCCCATGTCCAGAGGTCTCGGGAGATGGAGTCGGGGCCCTAGGGCAGCCCAGGTCTGGCCCATCTCCAGCCTGGAGAGTCAGGATTGCCTCTGAAGATGTCTCCAGAGCTGATGTGGCCGCGTCAACTTTGGCCTAACCCTGTCCTCCCTGGGGGAGGCTCAGGGGCCCGTCAGTGGCACGCCAGCCTCTCCGGGCTCCCACGAGGCCTGGTGCCTTCACCTCCTCCACACAGCAGGGCCCAGCCTGCGGCATGGTTTGCAGGCCACCCTGGCCGGGGGCACTGGGGGTGATGGGCATTGGTGGGTACCCTCCAGGTGAACTTTCTGTGAAAGCCCCCCCCCTCTCTTTTTGCTTTTTAGGGGGGGGGGGGGGGGGGGGGGCGGGCCAGCAGCACCACCCTCGGCTACTGGTGCTTCCTCTCTGTCCAGCCGTTTGCAGCGTGGCCGGGGCCCCAGGTCCTCAGCCCAGGCAGGGCCACCCAACGGCCTGTCTCTCTCAGCCAGACTTCCTCGGGGCCAGACCTCCACGCCCCACACCTGCAGCAGGCCCCCCCCTCCCTGCTTCAGAAGGTTTATCTGTCAGAGGGGGGCTTTGAGGGTGGGGAGTGGGGACCCTTATCTCCCTGCCAGGGGCCTGCCCTACGGTTGGGGCTTTGTAATCTGACATTCTGATTTTTTCACCCTTGTTTACCCCCCACCCCAGGGAGGGAAGATTTGCTGAATCATCCCGGGGAGGTGGTTGGAGGAGGCTAGGGGCGAGGCAGCTGGAGGGCAGTGATAAGTCTGAGGCCGGGCTGGGGGGCGCTGGGGGGCGCTGGGGGGCTGGCCTGGAGGAAGCCCCGAGCTGTGACGGTTTCCAGCTAAGACTGTTGGCTCCTGAAGAGCTGCCTTGGGGACGTTCAGCTCTGAAAGCCCCAATCTCCCTCCCAAAGGAGGCCAGAGGAGGACTGGGCCGCAGGTGGGCGCGCTGTGAGCCACGGGGGACTGGCTGGGGGACCCTGAGACCCAGCAGTGGACCATGAGAGCCAACAGTGAGGCAGGGCAGAAGTGGCTGGGCCCTAAGCCCCCACAGGATGGCTCCCGGGACCTTCTAAGGCACCTGAGGTTTACACACTGGGCTCTTGCGGCCCGAGAGGGGCACTGGCTAGCCCCCAGATCCCCAGCAGGGGGGGAGTGGAACTAGGGGCTGATCCGAGGTCTTCGTCTCCCCAGGGCCTTTGCCCCACTGGTTCCTTGGCTTGGGGCAGCCCTCCCCCACCTTTGATGCATCAAACTCTTTTTGTCTTTCAGATGTCTGCTTCCTCCAAGAAGACTTCTCTGGCCCTGGGGGCTGGGCTTGGTAGCCCCTCAGCCTCCTACAGTCCCCTAGGTGCCCCTTCTCCTAGCTCTTACCCCACCAGGGCCCAGAGTGGACACCCAGCAAATGCTTGTGGAATGGAGATTGGGGTTCTCTCCTCAGAACCCCAAGAGTTGCCCTCTGTCGGGACTAAAAGTCTGAGACTGGCGATCACCAGAGGGTGTGGGCAGGCCCCTGGCCCCCTCTCTGCTGCAGAGCTGACCCAGGTACAGGGAGAGGTAGTCCCAGCCCGGGCCTTCCCTCCGTGCCCCTCACTCTTCGGGCAGGGTGGTCTGACCTTCGGGTGTCTAGAGGAGACAGATGTCCCACCAGCATTGGAGATGGGCCATAGACCAAGACAGGGGTCCTACTGGATGTAGGTAGTGGGAGCCCCTGGAGCAGGGGCCAGGCTGGATGTGCTGGAGCTTCCCCAGAATGCTCTCTGCTCCCTGATTTCTGATTCCCCCAGAGTCTGGTGGGCAACCGCAGGCCGGGGCAGAGGGGTGATTGACGCCCCTGAGTCAGTGGCCACATCCCCTGCTGCTCCCAAAAGGGGCTTCTGGGGCAGGAAGAGCTGCCCGCGGTGGTCGCTTCACTCCCTTCCTGCTGCCCATCTGAGCTCAGAGATAAGTCCTCGCTGGGCTGAGGGAGGCCTGGGGGCTCAGGCCTTCCCCAGAAATCATGTCAGGGTTCCTCGTGTGGAGGAAGGAGCCTGAGGGCCACGATAACCCCTTTATTTTTAAGAGATCTGGGAGGAAGTCCCAAGTCACCATTTGCAGAAATAGCTCCGAGCTTCATTCTGGTGTCTGTGGCTCCAGCCGTCTGCAGGGACAGCCCACGAGAGGATCCCAGGTCAGTCCACCCCACGACAGTGGGCGGACTCCTGGGCCCCGGGAGCCAGCCCCGGGCCTGTGCTCCGAGGCCGGAGCCATCGGCCAGGACAGGAGCTACACGGACTTGTGCACAGGGGCTGGCCCCAGTGACTGCCTGGGGACCTGCAAGTCATTTCACCCCCTGCCCCCGTGTCTTTCCCAGGAACACGGGGGAGATGGTGCCTCCTGCACAGAGTCCATTTATGTGAAGTGCTC